CGTAGAGGGTCGGCAGGCACCAAGAGCGAACGCGCTTTTCGAGGAAGGCAAGAGCACGGGTACGGGGTCTTGTTGCTTGCATGGTAGTTGGGCGGGTTAGTGGTTTTTCTTTTTTTCCAAGCACATTTGTAGCGCTGCGTCCATGCCGTAGTGATTGGCTAGGAGGTCGAAGGCGGGAATGGACATGTAGTGTCCAACGGTCATGAGCTTGCTGAGTTCGGTACTTCCGTGGGAGATGATTCGTTTGAGATGACCTTTGTATTCTTGAACGTGGGCGTAACGTTGCATGACGTCATGGTTATGAGATTTGTAATCGTCGGACAACCATTGGTGCTCTTCCTTGACCTTGGCGAGGGGATGAATGACGTCCAAGCAATCCAGGAGGTAAAGAATGAGCATGAGCTGAGGCACGCGGTGACGGAGGTCTCGTGGAAAGCAGGCACATTCTTGGACTTGATGGAAGTTGAGACGATCGAGTGTGGAGGTGATGAGACGGGTGTGATAAGCTTCGGTGGTTTCAATGAGGAGACTGATGCGCACTTGTAGCGTGTTAGAGTTTTTCTAGACCTTTCTTGACGCCGAACCCCACCCCTGCTCCAACGGCGCCAAGGCTGGCGGCTTTGGCGGCAGCAATGGCCGCAGGAATGAGCGCCAACAAGGGGAAGAGCCCGCCTTGCTGAGAGCGTCTCTTTCGTCTTCGTTTGCCCCCTACTTGACCATAGTTTTGTTTTCGTGGTCTGGAACGGATGTTTCCTCCTACTTGTCCATAGGTTCGTTTTTTCTGGCGTGATCGGATGCCTCCGCCTCCTTGTTTACGTGGCATGTTCGTATTGGTTGATGATGCGGTGCAAAATCGAATAAAGGGGGCTGAAGGCGAGCGGGCTTTTATTCATTTTCATCATGACTACCACCACGTTCGAAATGAAGCCAAGGCCTGCATCGTTACTCATACCTACGGCACCTACCGTGAGGGTGGACAACCCCGGGGCAACGTTTGAGGTGACGGACGAAGTGATGGCCGCCATGCCATTAGACGTGAAGCAGGGAGCTCCCATTTATTTGAGACCGTTGTCTTCCCGCGTGCATTCGAGTCGTGAAAATTGGGTGTTGGGATTGGATAAAATAAAGAACCCGGCCGAAAGGGAACAGAGTAACGTGTTGCTGTTGTTGGATTCCAAGTACAACGATTTGCTCAACCTTGAGAAGACCTTGTTGGGGGGAGTCATGATGAGGCTGAAATTTTTTAAGACCAACAGACGAGACGATGACTGGGAAGGAGAAGAAGAGCCTGTGAGGTCGAGCATGGGCGAGCTTCATTACGAATACAGAGAAATGATAGCCGCCATCGCTAAGGCTAGGAAGGAGACCTTGGACTTTATCATGACGTTGACTCGTTGTTGTGGTAGCAAGACAGGCGATGAAGAGGAGGAGAACGAAGGCGAGGAGGACGAGGGGGATGCTGCCGCCCGCAGGAAGAGGAATCAAAAGAAGAAGGAACAGAGAAGGAGAAGGAGAAGGAGAATGAACGAAGTGGTCTCCGATCCCCGAGGAAGGGACGAAACGGACGGAAAGGATATAAAGGGGCCGGAAAGGGGGCACAAGTACCAATTTGTGGAAGCAGCATGGGGAGGCGCAGACGACGCAGAAAGCATCAGGCGGGAGGCAACGTCTTCAAGAACCTAAAGAACCGTGCTCAAAGTGGCATTAGTAGTATAATAGCCAATAAGGCGCAAGGAATAGCTGGCAAGTTGATTGATTCTAAAGTAAAGTCCAAGAAAGCACGTGCTTTTCTTCACAACCAATTGAAAGCTGCCGTACCGTTTATTAAGAAGCAAGTCGCGTCGAGCGTACAGTCAGGAAGTGGAGCGAGCAAGGACATGCAACAGGCCATGCGTGCGATGAAACGATTTGAAAGAGTAAAGCTGAGACGACGACGACGATGATTTTGACAGTGATGACCGTGACCTTGATGATGTGGGAGGAGTGGAGTCGAAAGAGGAGGGGCATAAAGGTTTCAAAATTCGCACACGCCGTGTACCGTGCACTCATTGCTCGAACGCCGTCGTGGGAAGAAGATCTGTGTTAATGCGAAGGAGGCGTCGAAGACCCAAGAGAAACGAAGACGAAGAAAAGATGTATAAGGCAGTAATGGGGCACATAGGATCGTTGAGGATGATGTTGGCTCAAGAGGGTGTGCACTTGGGAGCGTATGACCGCGTGGTGTACGGCTTGCTGCAAAGCATGGAGTACGATGTCATTTGTGTTGAAACTCAGAAGGAACAACGAAAGGCACGAGCAGATCTTCATCAGCTGTTGAGCGAATCTCTGGAAGCCTTGGGTGGGGACAAGTATGTCAAGGGACCTAAGGACGAAGGAGAAGCAACCGCGACAACTGAAGATGAAGGACCTATCGAAATCGTGACTGAAGTGATCAAGCCATTGAAGCCTGCCGTGAAGAGAAAGAGAAAGGTCAGGACAGGAACCAAGGATGAAGCTAAGAGAAAGGTATCGACGTTGATGAAGGAAGGAGAGATCGTACAAGTGGAAGTCCCTGTAGGCCCTCCAGGCGAGGAAAGCATTTCTCCTCTCGAGGAAGAAAATCTGAGGATACTCCTAGACTCCATTACCAACCCACAGCAGACATCAGTCTAGACATTTGATTGTGAAGAAAAGAAAAAAGTGTAGTAAGATTTTGTTTCATGTAAAAAATAAAGAGACCAGACTTTTGTGTTACTCAAACGTTGTTTTTATTGCTTCTACATTTACATCTTTGCGGCAACAATTGCCTTGACAGGGTTGACCCAAGGGTCCTATCTTGCTGTTGAACTTGGGACGGAGGGACTTGGGAATCATGACTTGACACAC